GGGGACGTCTCAAAGTGCTTCACGGGATTTAGTGCAAGGTGCAGTGACTCTATTTTTTGTGGCCAAACTTTGCACACAGCAATGGCCCCACAAACAGCCATGAAGGGAATGACCAATTTTATCTGGGGGATTGTTGACCAGGACACTGGAAGAAACACTATTCTCTTCACGAACAGTTCCGTGGTGATCTTTAACATCTACCTGAACGGGCAGATAGGACATCAGTTAACGTCTTAACCAGTTGCCACATTTGCTTACAAATACAGTTACCACAATTTACAGTAAACTCTTGTGAAACACTTTGAGATGTCTCAACTCTACATCGAAAGACAAGGATCATTATGGGTAACCTTTCTCCATTTATCCTGGTAAAAACTAAAAACTTGAAAGGGTTAAAGTACACATAAATTTATATATGCCAATCCGTCTTCCCACCATCACCTCCTTCCGCTCCCTTCCACCCCCGCCTTCCCTCACCCCCAAAATGGGAATAGTTCAAATAACACCTTTCCGCCTCAACTAACAAGCCGAGTGGCATCTTGTCAATTACACACTAATCTAACACCTTGTTCTGCTGAGATTATCTTGAAAATTCTCCTCATCTGTCAGCAAACATTAAGATGTTTGCGGTCCTGACAGACCAGGAATCCTAATGCTTTTATCTATTTCACTGTAGTGCCATGAGTCTATCCGCATTATACAGTCGCACGTGCCCAGATGTTCGGCATCTGACTTCACTTGTTGGCATTACTAGCTGGCACAGCAGTGTAGCCAAAGCAACAGTGACACAGGCAGTTCATTAAAGCATTTTGTGTTTGGTGATCAAGAAGGGAACACAGATGGACGTGGGAAAATTATATTGCAGTGGTAATGGAAAAGGATATATAAATAGGATTTTACATGGCTTAGGGCATTCTGTTAACATCTTTGGTTTAGCAAGTGATGACTAATTCTGCGCTTGAACCTCTGCATGAATGGGTTCCTGGCAACAATACTGTCAAGACAGGGCACCATAGGTGGAGTGGAATATGTGAAGCTGGAGCTGAAACGGGAAGAGGTGAGATATAGCTGCAGATGAGTGTATCTGCAGCTGGCACGGGGTACAGTCATTAGGCTGAAGGGGAAGAAGCCCTTGTGGTTGATGCTCTTATCACACCCACAGCTGATAGCTTGGCCCCATAACTGCATTGGTGTGGAGCTGACCACTTTCATTCTTTTCCACACTAATCTAACAAACTAGTTTGCATGGCTTTGTCAGGGTTGAGTCCAGGTGCAAGAGAAGGGTATTTGCTGTGCTTACCAAACACAGCAACAATATTCATCATTAGCTTTGTTGAGCACTTAATTCACCAAGTGCCAAGTAAAAGTGAGGGGAGGTTGCTCGGAGCAGAGTTGACTGGGGCACTGAAACAGAATTGGTTTCAGGTAGGAAATGGTATTGGAGGGAATGAGGAAAGAGCAGAGAACTGGGATTAGGCGTAAACACGGGTACTAATTTGATGGGTAGAGTTACTCCCTAACACTCTCTAGAAGAGGTTAGCTCTAGAAGTTGTATTTGGTGACCATATAACATAGCATCAGGAAGTGCCTTAACATATTTGTTACTGGAATAAATCAAGGCTACTGCTCCAAGGAGAAATGTACTAAAGCTTCTCTTACAAAACTAACCCCCTGTAGGTGCAGGTTGCTTCTGGGTTAGGACGGATATTGCAGATGGTGGGGGGGGGCTAGAGGGGTGCGATCTCAATGCACTGCTGGTCCTGGTTGGATGCATTTAAAGTCTTCAAGTCCTGCAGCAGTGTAAAGTAAACTTTGCAAGCCAGGAGTTAGCTCAAGTACCAACAGAATATATACCTGACGGATGCCAAGAGGAGGAATGGTACTTCAGACAACTTCCCAATATCCCTAATAAATAAAACTGCATGTATTGATTTCAGCCAGGTTTCACCAAGTCACAATGACTGCACATTATTGATTCATTCTCCACTAACTCTACATTATATATAAGATTTTTGGGGGAGAGAAAATTACATTCACACTTTATTCATCTTATCTCAATGGTTGAAAACTCACACCTAAATCACCGACAATGATTTAAAAGCTGCACAGTTTTATCCCCTGTTAGTTACAAATAGGCGCTGCATCAAATACAAGGATTATTATTATTGTTATTATAAATATAGTACCTTATTACACTTCGAGAGATCTTGAAGCGCTTCACAGGATTTTACTGTAAAGTGTAAAAGTCATTACTGATGTGGCAAACTCGGAAGACATTTTGCGCACAGCAAAGTCCCACAAACAGCCATGAAGTGAAAGACCAATTCAATTAGCACTACACTGCAGCATCCCATGCCCCATATGCACCAGGAAAGAAGAACAATGGGGAAATTTTCAATGTTATTAATAATCAGTAAATCTTAAATTACAACTTTACTGAATTTTAGAATAACTCAACTACCTAATTAGACCTCATTTGCATTTACATTAGGTGAATTAGAAAATATATTACCCTATAGGGTCAGAACCATAATTCCTTTAGTCACAAACTTGGAAGCTAAAAGAAGCTAATTGTGCCAAGAGGGATAATATATTAATAACATGCTAATCAAATTAAATTTGCATTTTGGAATTGGCTACTAATAATCCTTGGCTTTGATTGATCGGAAATGGAAATTTTCTGAAATTAAGCAAATTACACAATCTTGTCTTTGAGAGTTGTNAAAAAGTGTCAGCCTGGCTCAGTTGGTAGAAAGACGCTGCCTCTGAGTCAGAAGGTTGCAGGTTCAAATCCAATGTCAGGGCTTTGAACTCACAGTCAAGGATGACACTTCAACACAGTGCTGGGGAGCGCTGGATTGTTGGGAGGTGCCGTCCTTCTGAAGAGATGTCAAACCAAGACCCTGTCTACCTGTTGAGGTAAACCTTAAATATCCCATAGTACTACTCGAAAAGAGCAGGGAGTTTCGCCCACTGTGCTGGCCATTAACCCCCCAGATAAAACTGATCATTCACTTGAGGGCTGTTTGTGGGATGTTAATCTGCGGAAATTGGCTGCCGTGTTCACCCGCAAAAAACAGTCACTGCACTTTACAGTAAATCCTGCGAACATTTTGAGAAATCCTTTCAATGTGAGAGGTATTGTAGCAAATGCAAGGATTATTTTTATTAGAATATATTCCAACACAATTTGAGATAACATATTCATGAATTATAATAATTAAATCAAATTTACAAATATCAGGTTACTTAGAATATATTTTCCCTATTAAATAGAAAGACTTTTATTTGGTGTTTTTTTTTGGACGAATCAGCACAAACTCTTAATGCAACCTTTACACCATCAAACTGGGACCAGTATAGCCTGACCAGATGTAACACAAACAAGTGTCATATACTTGCTATAATGATCAGGTTGTGGATGTGAAAACACACCGGTACCTATTGGCCAGATTGCTCGGAGCAAGAATGCGAGCATTTTTCCTGACATTAGCCAAGAAACAGTACCATGAAAACTATCACATACTGTAGTGTGATATGATTTCACAAGCAAAAATGGTGTAGAAGGGATGTGGAGTTACAATTTACTTACTCTATTTACTCTTGCAATTTACTTATGTTCACTAGCTCCCTGTGCAATGGGGCCCCTCTCTTAAGAGATTATTTAGTTTCTCTGGGAAACTCTGAACTGAATAGACCCTTTTTTTTAAAAGTTACATTTAAAAATCTCGCATAGAATAAAAGCTTTAGGATTGTGAAGATTTCCTCAGAAGCTAAATCATGTCGGCTTCATATTTGTAACGTTGACATCCACACCCATGATTCCCGTGCAGTTAATAAACCCGTGGAAATCCACGAGTGACACAAGTGAGTAAACACCAGATGTCTCAAGAATGTGATGGTTCATTCCCCAAACCTCCCCACACCCCCTCTAGGGGCCCCTCCTTTTTCTTTCGGTCTTCAAGCTCTACGAGACGTTATCCTACAACGAACGGCGCTATATAAATGCAAGTTGCTGTAATTCTTGATTTGCTGTTTTTTTAAATAAAATTCATGGTTTCTCTCTTCTCCCCCTTCTCTCCCCTCACACGTCTCTGCTGGTTGTTACACACTCAAGTATTTTCTTCCTCCGTTCGTTCTGTGGACTCGAAGGGTAACTTCTATTCTATTAAGACTTCCTCACCAACGCTTTGTTTTACAGTCCCCATTTGAATGTTTCTAAACAAGCATTCAATCAGTTGCTGATCTTTAACATCAAATGCATCAAAAAGCATTTTTCTTGCCCTCTACACACAAACTCACACAAACTCAATCCTTCTACAAAAGAGTGAAATTCCAACTCTTTCTCCTCCCACCTCCCTCCTCTCCCTCCCCTCACTCACCAAGCCCTTTTCTTGAACAGATTTCATCAAACCCCAGTTTGCCACTGGCAACAAACGGATTGCTCTTTTTTTAAAAGAAAGAAAATAATAATCCCTCCAAAAAAAAACCAAAACAATAATAAATTGATCATTTTCAATCTACGACTGTTTGTGGGACACTGCTGTGCGCAATTGGCTGCCGCGTTCGCCCACAAATATACAGTCAGTTCACTTTACGGTGTGTTCTGTGAAGCGCTTTGGGACGTCCTCCCGACGTGAAAAGCGCTATATCAAATGCAAGGATTATTATTATTAAAACATTAATGAATGCGAGACTTCTCACCCCTTTTCTCTCCACTGCCCCACTTTGTCTTGCAGGACAGCTACATGGCAAGGTGTGAGGGAGGGGGGAGAGAGAAAGGGGGTGAAGTATATGTATATATATATATATGTATATGGGAGTAAAACCCCAAACATGCAAAAATGCAACATTGTTCCGTTTTAAAATCAAAGCAAAAAAAAACAATCAATCAATCGATCGAAGTAAAAAAGGGAAGAAGGAGGGAAGGAAAGAGAGAGAGAGAGAAAGAGAAAAGGAGGAGAGGGATTAAGAACAAGAGCAAACCAGGTTAAACTTACTTCAGAGTGGACCAGAGCGACGGTCAGTAGGACAAAAAACGGGATACTTTGAAATATCTGTTAAAAAAAACACATTAAAAAGATGCAAAATGGTAAAGACAACATAAATGCAAACGTTACATATATATATATATACACACACACACAGATCTGCAGTGTAATATAAATCTATATATCGTTTTTTTATTAAAAAAAAGTGAAAGAGGTATATTTTTTTTAAAAAAAAGGCTTTTTTTTTCTTACCATCTTTCTTTTTTTGGTCGGATCTGAGCCCAAAGAGAGAAAAAAAAAATGTGAAGGAGAGAGGATTGCATGCAGCCTCCTGCCCAGGACAAGAGCAGTGTGTGTGTGTGTGAGATCAGGGAGAAATATGATCAGGGCTCTGGGATTTAAAGCAGCTCCAACTCCCCCTGTGACGTGGCTTTGAACTAAAGACTAAAACCACCACCCCCCCACCCCTCTTTCCTTCCTTCCTTCTCTCTCTCTCTCTCCCTCCCTCCTCCCTCCCTCTCTCTCTCTATGCGTGCAACCAGGCAGAGTGAACCCTTGTAGCAAATACAAGTCCTATTCTCTCTCTCTCTCTCTCTCTATCTCTCAGATGCAGCAGATTAATGTGTAGTGTTGCATTTTTTTAGATATGCAGTATATCTCAAAAAAAAACCTCTAGACAGAATGAGTAAGGGAGTTAGCCAGATTAGAGCAATGGCTGTAGGAATTTGGGGTTGTTATTGGATGGATGCAGACCACATGATCGTTTTAAAGTTGACAAGGTTGGGGCCAGTAAAAAGACTTTTTTTGTTTTTTCAAAAAACACTGTTAGTGAAAAAATATTCTTTGAAAGTGTCTTAAATGACCAGCCTCCCCATAGTAAAGTTGCGATGCTCAAACGACCGGCTCAACATTTTTGAACTTTTGCTCAAACACTTAATTCACTTTTCTCTGCCACCCCTCTGGAGTTGGGAGTCCGTGTTGCCTACAGCACGTTCCACAGATCTCTTTATCTCCCAAGATCTCAGATTCTTGCCTTTAAACATTCCCACTCTTACGCGCTTCCCATCCATCAATCAGACGCTTGCCACTTACAAACCATATCCAATCAGTTAAACGTGGGCACTTCCTTCTGTTTTTCAAGGCACCGTTGATTTTTTGGGGGGAGGAGGTGAAAATGAATGAAAGTTTAACTTTTGAAAAAACACGCGCACGCACACACACACACACACACACACACAACCCTGGCTTCCAAGATTCCTTTGTGTTCTTGGAGGCAATGAAAGCTGCACGACCACATGCTGAGGAGGGAGATGATTCACACAGCACGGTTCCTGAAGACAATCAGTGACTAGGCAAACCCCCAGGGGTGTAAACCACAATGTGTGCATTGAGATGAGGACCATGTGACCAGCCCAGCCTAGCTCATGGGCAGGACTTGGAAGGGCAAACTAGTCACTGGGGGCAGGGACTCTTCCAACTCAGGTCTGGTTAACCCTGCAAGTCAAAGCTCCTCGCTGGACAAGCAACAGGAAAGGAGAACGTGAGCCAGGTGGGCTGGTCAACTATGACTGTGGACCATTGCCAGGCACATCTCCTCTGAGCCAGTTCAGCCATTTAACAATGACCCCCTACTCTAGATGTTTTCCATGAGATGCAAGCCCTAAAAGGGGTAAAGGAGATTGTTTGAATGGTTGGCGGGTGGCTGAATAACATGATACCAGGATAGGCTGAATAAGGAATTAATTGCTTCTCTTCCAGGTTTGTTGACCGGTTTATCCCCTCAACAAACCCCGTTACACATAAAGCACTTGACAAAAAAGTCCCTGGAACAATTTGTCACATCATTTCATATCATGGCCCCCAGAGTCCAAGCCCATGTTCTGACCTGCACCTTCCTCTCTACAACCCAACACAGGTCCCATCTACCGGTTCATCATTCAAGAAGAGCGATTTTCCTGGTGAACAATTCTCCGGGCAAAATTGTTGATTTTACCACATGGTTATTTGTGGGACTCTGCTGTGGGTTAAAGGCTGCCGTGATTGCATCATAAAACACAGAAGCATAGTAGCAAGTCCTTTCTTATCACAGGCATCAAATGCATTTCCTTCTGGTTCTCTCCCTCTCTTCCCCCAGTGTCTTCAGTTTGCCATCTTTTAGTGCTCTCGATGGCATCTGGTAATAGGTAACCATGAGTTCTGAAGTATGCCTGGAGGAATGTCTGTTGATTATTTCTGTCTGCAAGCTTTCCTCTTCTGCTGTCAACCTTGCTTCTGAGCACTGGGCACAGAAAAGCATTAAAAAACTCAAACACTACAAAAAATTCCTTAAAAATGAATTAAAATAATTTGATCACTCAATCCACGACTGTTTACGGGGCACTGCTGTGCGCAATTGGCTGCCATGTTTCGCCCACAAAATATACAGTGAATTCACTTTACAATATATTCTGTGAAGCACTTTGAGACATCTTGAAGATGTGATAAGGCATTATATCAAATGCAAGGATTATTATTATTTTTACTACAAATCTTATCCTTGGAAGCTCATAGCCTTGGCCGACACTCCAATGCAGTATTAGGGGAATGTTGGCTTCTTGGAGACAGTATCCTTCAGGAGAGACGTTTACTCCGAAGTCCCATTTTCCCAATCTTTATGTGGACATTAAAGATCTCATGACGCCAGTCAAACGGAGAAGGCAGTTTCTGCTGGTGACTCGTTGAATAAATTTCCAAAAATAATTAATATTAATTTCCTGGCTGTTTGTGGGATCTTGCATTGAGCTAATTGACCGGCAACTTTTAAAAACAGTCACCACACTCAACAGTAATAAGTAAAACACATTGAGATGGTGCAGTATGATAAGATACTATGAAAACAATTTCTTTCTTACGCCAATACTTGTCTTTCAATGGAGACTCAAACAGGTGGGATTAATAAACATTGTATACTTTGACAACAACTTGCACATATAACCTTTCATGTAGAGGAACATGTTTACAGAGTAAGAGTGGGTGAGCAAGCAGGGTGTGAGATAAAGGAAAGGCAGGAGGTAGCTGAAGGCACAGTCAAAGAGTTGAAGATTTAGTTGGATTTTGAAAGACATTTGAGACATACCTTTCCTAAATTAATCGTATGGAATTTGGGATGACTTTTTTTTAGACTTCTTAGAAATGTGATATGCATCTACAGGCATTTTCTTGCAGTCTGCACATGTGGAAAATGAAATAAGGAGATTTGGGAAATTGAAGTTCTGGTATATGTTTGTCAGAAGAGATTATTAGGATTTAATCAATGGAGCATGCATGAGCACAAAAACCAATTTAATATGTCAGCAGGTTGGAGTCCTTTATTTGTTGTTCAGTAGAGCTCAGATTGGAATAGCTATGCTATAAGTCATCTCAAACCCCTTGATTATCATAGAAATTAGTCAGGATGAAATTGCATTAAGGTGATTTACACTGAATTATTGTTTTTTTTCCTATTGCATCTCATGAGTACTGTGTCAGTGCTCCTGTGCACCCCGATTACAGGAACCAACTCCATCTTACTAGAAGTGATCACCTGTTTCCGAGGAAATTACACATCAATATTATTTTCAGGTAAACAGGGTAAAGTCTGCAGGATTTCATTACATTTCCCTTGTGTTAATTAACTAAGTTTGCCTCATTTCAACTTCGATCACCTACAAATACCAGTCACTACACTTCACAGTAAAAAAAACTGTGAAGCACCTTGAGATGCTTCAAAGATGATAAAGCATTACATTAACTGCAAGGATTATTAATAATTCAGGTTGTGACATTTTATAACCATGTAGAGTCCTGTAACTCAGTGGTTAGAGCATTCACCTTGCAAGTGAAAGACCTGGGTTCGATTCCCGGCAGAATGAAATGTTGGGCAAGTTTCTTTACTCCACCTCTGTTTACCTAGCAGTAAGTAGGAACCCGGTTGTTAGTCGATTGGCAGATTGCTTTTCTGGGGGTAATAATTCCTTCAAAAAAAATAATAATTTGATCACTTACTCCAGGATTGTTTGTGGGACACTGCTGTGTGCAATTGACTGCTGCTTTTCGCCCATAAAACATACAGTTAATTCACTTTGCAGTATATTCTGTGAAGCACTTTGAGATGTCTAGAAGACGTGATAAGGCGTTATATCAAATGCAAGGATTGTTATTATTATCTCTTTGTGTTAATTAATACATGGAACCATAATAAAACCCTACGAACAGTATCTCATCAATCTTTGGAAATCTTTTATTTTCTCTCCAGATATGTTTTTGCAATATGCCTTCGAGCAGTTTGGTGTAAATATTGGATTCCATGAAATTCCATGTAACCTAGAATTACATCCGCAGAATTGTTTCCGCTTTCCTTTTAGTTCCTTTTTCCAGGTTACTCTTTAACATCTATAATCCCTGCAGACACACAGACACACACACACGTATATGTTGTTATAATTCACATTTGACATTAATTGATGTGAGGCACTTTGCAACATTTCATTGGGACAGGCTATAAAATAGAAATTCTCGTTTCCTTTCTTTAAAGATCCTAACCCTTGGAGTGACAGCTTTCTCAGCAAAAAATGTTCACTGAAAGGCTCGATATGAATTACAATTATTAAACATTCTGAACAAATTGTGTTTTTCAAGTTTAGAATTGCTTCGAGTCAAGTTGAAATTATACCAACATGGGCACAGAAATTAGGAAATTTACAACATTGTGCTATTATTTTCCTTTCACTTCAGTATTTTTTTCTTTTCACATGTAATCAAGATTATAGGGTGGTTTAAGAAAGAACTTGCCTTTTTACAGCACCTCCTAAGGTCAAACATCTAACAGTGTTTCACACTCTCGTGTTCTTTTCTCTCCTCAGTCTCATCTGGTATTCTTTTCATCTATTTTTTATTTTTCCTGTCTTAGATTTTCCCCATTCTTTGTTCCGAACACTGCTTCCGGAAACAAGTTGGGGTGAAAATTGCAGGAGTCATAATCCTTAGATTTGATATAGTGCGTTATCAAGTCAACATGTCTCAAAGCGCTTCACTTTCTCTTTTTGAAT